TGTGTGTGTGTGTGTGTGTGTGTGTGTGAGAGAGAGAGAGAGGGAGGGATCTATTTAGGATACCCTAGCTCTGATGCACACACTCCCTCCCCACCCCTTCCCCTGTCTCCTTTCTACTTGCCTCAAGAATATGGGACACCTGCCGTGGTCCTGGGCTTCGAACCTCAGACATGAGGACTGGGATTCCAGCTGACCAGGACATGATCACTAAGGGGTTCTTACCTATAGACCCTTCCTCAGCTGCCCCCCACGTTTCCTCCCCCAGCCCTACCTGTTCTTACCCTCTGGCCACCTGCAGATTCCCTTCTACATCCTGGGTCAGGTTGGGGGACAGGGCTGCAAGTGCTAAAGACAGAGGTGGGCCAATGGGACTCCAGGACAAGGACTCCTGGATCCCTGTCCCAGCTTCCTGCTCTTCCTTTGTTCCAGTTGGGGTCCCCTCAACAACACTCCAGAGAATCAGACCCCCGCCTTGGCTAGAGGGAGGCAAAACTCATACCACTGGCTGGGGATCTGTCAGAGGGAATCCTCAACTGGTGGTTCAAGGAAACTTCACAGACCCCTGTCCTAGCTACCTCTGCCCTAGTCCCTCCAAAGTCCTGGACACACAAAGCAGGATCACTGGTCTCGGGCCCCTTTCCTTGCCCTCCTGCGGGCCAGGCTGTGCCATTCCATTGGGGAAGGAGTAACTTGGACCAGCTTGGACCATAAAATCTACCTCTTAGAGCCCCAGGAGAAGAAAGCCGTCGTTCCTACCCACAGGAGGGACCCTCGTCTTCCCTCATACTCCGAGCAACCACAGCAGCAGGACAGGAGCCCGCTAGCTGAAGACTCTCCCTATTACTTACCAGAATGAAGAGCAGACCACTCAGCCCATCCCCAGCCTGTCTGTCTTCCCCATTCCCTTCCACATCGGGACTGACCCAAGTTCAGGGCAGCGAGCCCTGCTCAAGCCCTGCCACAGCGGGACCAGTCGCGGGAAGAACTGCACAGCGTCGCCGCTCGGCGCCCCCTCCCCCAGCCCACCTCGCCAAGGACCCAGGCGTCCGCGGCGGGGGCGGGGGGGCCGGCTTCCCCCCCCTCACCTGGAGGGGGAGGGAGGGGGAGTGAGGCCGCGGAGCCCCGAGGTGCCGGCGTCGGGCGGTCTCGGGGATGCAGCGTCGCAGTATCAGGGGCTCGCGGTAATGGGGGGCTGGGGGGGCACGGCTCTAGGCTGGCACTGTCCCGGGGCCTCTCGGAGCCCGCCCGCCCACGTGACCGCCCCAAAATATCCGACACATTTTCTCCCAAACCGCACACTGACTCTGCAGGCGGGGACACGGAAAATATTTTCTTTCTTTTTCTCCCTCCCCACCCCCCCCA